TTTTAGGCTGAGAACTACTATTTTACTAATGCCCGAGGGGCTTGTGATGATTTTCGGACTGAGTGAGGCCGAGGGCCATATGTGAGGACATGCTGAGTGATATGAGGCCGAGGGCCTGAGATACATTTATATGCCACGAGGTGGCTTGAGTGATGTGAGGACGAGTGCCGAGTGATGTGAGGCCGAGTGCCGAGAGATGATGCCACGAGGTGGCATGATATTGCGCTTGGGCCGTAAAGGGCTCCTCCCGGAGTCTGCACACCCCCAGTGAGCGCCGTCGACGATATATGGATCGGGCTGCACGCCGCAGCGATATATAGATCGGGCTGCACGCCGCAGCGGTTGCTATATGATATTATTCTGAGAGTGTTCTGAGTGTGAGCCCGAGGGGCTGGTACTGTTCTGAGATATTGCCCGAGGGGCGAACCTTTATGTGTTCATCTTTTATATTTACTTGTCATTTTACCTGTTATACTATGGTATTTGTGCCCGAGGGGCGTTTTTCTGTACTTATCGGCATTAACTGTTTTGCAATCATTGCGTAACTGTTGAAAAAGTCATCTTCAAAAGAGGTTTAAACTGAGCTAAGATATTTTCTAAAGATTTCACAGCTTCACTGCTTTTCTCAAAGGGTTTTACACTGCTTCTATACAGCATGATGATTTGCTTTACGTGATTTCTTACTGCTCAGTTGTTATTTACCTTTATTACTCACTGATTTGGAGTACTCACTTTACTCCCTGCACCTTGTGTGCAGATGCAGGTATTTATACACCCGGTAGCGGGTTTTGGCTGATCGGAGGCAGTGTTGTCTGATTTAGCGAGGTGGCTGCCAGCGTTCGCAGCACCGCATTTCATCCTTTGCTTATCAGTCCTACTTTGTTTATTTCGGCCTTGTAGTTGTATTTATACTCTAATAGATGCTCGTGACTTGTGACACCCCGGTTTGGGCTCTGTTTGGGTTGTATTCCGCACTTAATAAAGAAATCTTTTGTTTAGACTGTGGTTATTTAGTTATGCTAAAACTGCTTATTAATAATTACTATTCTGAAAAGGCAATTTGGGTGGTTGGCTGGCCTTGTCTTCACGAGAGGCGCCATCACGACCGGATCGGGGTTTGGGTCGTGACGAGTTGGTATCAGAGCCTAGGTTACATAGGTCTCACGAGTCATGAGCAGGTTTAGTAGAGTCTCGCGGATCGGTACAGAGACGTTTGTATTTATCCTCGAGAGGCTGCAGAACCTTTAGGAAAAACTTCACATTCTTGGAATACTATCATGTGTCCTTGATTCAGCTTGAAAAGTAACTCTTGTAATTCCTTCCACGCGTTCATATGCGCGCATGAGCGCTCGGTATCAGATATGCCTTGATGGCTCGTGATTCCCCGATCGAGGGGCGAGATGCTATCTCTGTGAGTTTGATATTGGGCGAGTCTAGAGGACTTGAGGCTGAATCGTTGCCTATGGCTTGAGCACCGAGGTGCTGATTGTGTGAACATGTGTTTTTAAACTTATATGTTCGGTAGTGTCCCTGTTAGTGGAAATTACGGCTGTGGCTATGTGATGAGTATGCTAGTACTGCGAGGTGTATCTATATGATTTGGAAGCGACGAGAAGGGTCTACTGAATAATGGGAGAACTATTAGATACTTGAAGTCTATCTTGATTCGAGGTATAGCCCCGAGTTATGGGCGTGTGAAGAATCTTTTCATGTTTCCCAGTTGGGAGTGAAGTAAATTTCATGTTGCGGTATGAGTTCAGACTCAGGAAGACCAAGTGACTGCGTAATGCATGTGACGGTGGAAGGTATGCAGAAATGTTAGTTGGAGGCAAAGCTGGTGGGTTATCTCGTGCGGAGTGTTCTAAGGTTGTGTGATCCTTATGTTGTCTATTAGAAGATCTCATTTACAAGTGAAGAATATGTGTTCAAATCTAAATTGGGTCGCCTAGAGAGTGGGCTTAACTATTGTGTGAGTGAATGCGAGATTTGTAGAAGAGTTAAAATTCTAGATGATTTGTGTTTCCACAAGCTTATGAAGGATTGAGTTTAATATCACTATGGTATTATGGTAGCAATAAAGTATATGCGTTGTGAATTATGGTGTGTGTTTTGATCTATGGCTTCGAGTCAAGTGGGGGAGTCTCCTATTGATTAGACGATTGCACGGTTATGTGCTATGTTAGTTCCAGTTTGAAGCATACTGGTGAATCAGTTATGGCTTATGGAGATTGAGACCGAGGATGCCTCGAGTAAAGGAAAATTTTGACAAAGGTTATGTCATGCTTCATAGGTGTAAGAGAATCTCGGAATGTCTTGACTTGTTGTTGGTAAAAGATGCTTGGTGCATAGAGCCGATAGTTGCTTGGTTGTTTTGGGATGAGGTTGCTTTCTACAGTGTCTGAAGTGCTAATGAGGCACAAGGTGTTCGATTCTTTTGATCGGGCTAATTGCGGTTTGAGTAGAGTGGATGACTTGCGAGAATGGTTCTAATGTGTTCTACATTCTACATATAACAATTGGGTATTGTAAAGTGGCATATGTGGCTAGAAACTGAGTTTTCATTGGAAAAAGTCAAGACTTGTGGTATTTGCTGTAAATTGTGGATTCGATGTGTCAGTATCAGGAAGGTAAGGGTAACGGATTTAGATTCGTAGGAAGTCTCTTCGGAGTAAAGTATTTTGAAGGTGGTGCTTTTAGGGATGTTTAAGAGAGTATTCAGTGGCCTATGAGTTTTAGACGGTATGGTTTTGTGCTTGGGTCTCGTGTGGTACCTCTGGGTTGAGAAATTGTGATGTTATAGCGAGAAGGAATATCAAGTTGAAGGTGAGTCAGAAGGGAACTCGGATAGATGGGATAGCTTGGTAGTAGGTCGGATTGGCGTGGTAATGGATATGATCGGTTCTTGAGTGCTTATGAAGCGGCGGGTTTCCACAAGTGTTTTGTGGCGATACTCTTAGGTTTGATTGCTTGTGTAGCTTGGTTGAGTTAGAAGGAGTCAGTTTTGATGGTTCGGTTTTGTACAAAAGGGGGTTCGTAGAATTCTTGATAATTTCTACCATGGTTAGAGAAGTATAATTTATGCTGGCATGAGGAGCATGGGATGTATAGTGATTTTCTTCTAGATGCGATCAAATGGGAATTTCTTGACTAGTTGAGTACGTAGATGTTTGTGGCTCGGAAGGGAGATGGAGTTCTCATGTTATCCTAGGGTGGTATGGTATATGCGATATGTTGTGGAGGATCGAGATTTGCGTGTGTAAGGTTACAGTTCAGTTTTGAATGGAAAGTCATAAAATTCTTAGGCAGCACGGGCAGTTTTAGGTGATTAGAGAAATGAGCTTCAGATGATTAGGGTGAATGATCTTCAGATGATTAAGGAAATGGTATTGCTAATCATAGTGATTCGACGAGGGTATATGTTTCAGAAAAAGGTAATGTGATTAAGTTGATAGTACTTCGGTAGTACTGTGGCGCTTTCTTGTTAGATCGACTGCTGATATTCGAGTTTGCTTGATGGCACAGGGGAATTTTAGGATATTCTTCGTGGAATGATTAGGTACTTGAGGTATGATATGTATTCGGACTGCGGAATTTGGGGATCAGGTATGGTGATTTGTGTGCTACATAGGGTTGGAGACCGGAAGTTCTCGCGTTCAGGCTATATTGTTGTTGTGAGTCACGTGTATCGGCTATTTAGTGACTATCGGGGTCTGGAGACCCGAGCGGACCTTTTATGCTTGGTATGTTGGATTTGGAAGTGATATTGGGTTCAGACTGGTTGTCTTCGTGTGTTATTTTGGACTATTGCGATAAGACGACGCTGTTGGCCATGCCGGGAATGCCACGGATTGAGTGGCGAGGTGCGGCAGATTATGTCCTATTGGGGATTTGTATATTTCGAAGACCTAGCGGACGGCTGGGATGGATTTGCCTTTATTATTTCGGCTCTTGTGATGAGTGTCAGTACTGAGGCTCCTCATATTGATTCAGTTCCGGTGGTGAAGGACTTTTCGGATGTGTTTCTTGTGGTCGGGCATGTCGCCGGGCAAGGTTGTTGATTTCAGTATTGATTAGATGCTGGGCACTGTATCGTATGGCACTGGCACAGAAGGGTATATTTTCAATGTCAAAATTTTAGAAGACATTATCTAAAAATGAGGAATTAAAGTGACAATTTCAGTTATCCAATAAAAGGAGAGGAAACGTTTTGCTTCAGAGCAGAAGATTTTTTTCATGAATCAGAGTTGGGTAACACCGTTAGTTTTTGAGCACATCGTGTTAGTGAGACTAAAGGTGCTCCACTTTAAAATACTTAAAGGACTAAATATGCTCATGATTATATTTGAGGGACCAAAATAGACCTACCCTCAAAGATAAAGGACAATATTGGTCAACCAACCCGTACTATTTCGAGTTGGTTGAGTGTTTTACTAAAAGTTGGTTGATTTATCACATGTATTCTCAGGTAACAAGCTTGATGTTAGTGAGCATCTCAGAACTAGAAAGATCCAGGAGCTAATGGATTTTTGCCACAAGAGTGCCAACAATATTATACCTTGATTATATATGATTATATACATATTATTTTTCTAGCCAGTATACATATATTATATCTTGATTATATGTGATTATACACATATTATACATGGATTACACATATATTATGCATCCATTGGCTAATTTAACTTAGCATATCGTAACCTAACCCGTTCAACATGATCCAACCTCCTCTTTCTTTAATTTGATTTTTGTTAAAGAGAAAATTAAAAATTGATCTAAATGTTCTTGAATTATTAGTTTGAATTCTTTCAAATTTACATAAATTTCATTCTCCAAATTAATTTTTGTGCATTTGGGGTTGCATTTTGTTCCTTCGGGCAATTTCTTTTTGACTCGTTTAATCAACAAACGTGTCATAACCCACCCAACCCGTACGTACTATTTCGAGTTGGTTGAGTGGTTTACTAAAAGTTGATTGATTTTATCACATGTATTCTCAGGTAACAAGCTTGATGTTAGCGAGCATCTTAGAAGTAAAAAGATCCAGGAGCTAATTGATTTTTGTCACAAGAGTGCCAACAATGGTGAAGCAGTGAATATTGGCAGAGCAGCTTTTAGAACTTCCTTGAATTTGCTGTCAAACACTATTTTCTTTAAAGATTTGACTGACCCATTTTCTGATTCCGCTAAGGAATTTAAGGACTTGGTGTGGAACATTATGGTCGAGGCTGGTAAACCAAATTTGGTGGACTATTTCCCTTTTCTTGAGAAAATTGATCCACAACGTATAAGGCAACGCATGACCGATCATCTTACTAAGGTTCTTGACCTTATGAGTGGTTTGATTGAGCTAAGAGTAAGCAAAGTATGAACAATAATGTAAAAATAATAAAGCTGAAGAACAATTAGGGAGCACAACAAATGAGAAAAGCATATTAGAATATTCTATTGTAGTATGTCAGATGATTTTTACAAAGATTGGGGTCCCCTTTATATAGAAGGGGAAAACCTTAATATAGTACATTTCCAATTATGACAAAGAATTCTATTGGTACAGATGTATAACAACCTAGTACGGAATTTCGTACAAATCTTATCCCTTAATTTATACCCTTATCCACATATCCTCGAGAAATTCCCGCTCTTTCTTGATTGTCATCGAAAATGTACTGCCCTCGAGGTAAATCATGGTGGGTATTCGATTTTCTCCCTCGAGGTATGCATTTTCCAGTCAGATCCGGTCTTTACTTCGTGCTACCCCGAACTCGAGCCCGGGGTTCCATTCAGACCTCGAAGTCGAGCTCTCTGATTTCGACCGTATACAGATAGTCCCCGCGTTTCTTAGAATGAAATGATAAGAAACAATCTGATTCTGACCCCTTCGATGTCTCGATCATGATATCAATCTGGTGAGGTCAGCGGTCTGTGCAACCGAAAAGTCGTGCAAAAGTTACACCTACATAGCTTTCAAAAATGTTTAATGAAAGACAGTTATTGATCTCCCGTTTAGCTTCTCCAACACGCTTAGACAGCATCTATAAATGCTTCAATCCATTATTCTTCGGACTTTTATTTTTACAATACCATCAAATCCTCTCTGCACTTATTCCTCCCTTGTGCTTATTTCTTAACCTGCTCCTTCTCCTTCTTCTGAATTTTTACAACAAAAATGGAAAAAACTTCTAAGACAGTCCCACAAACAGAGAAGGCCTCTTCGTCTTCACGCCCGTCGAGGAGCAAAATAGTGGTACCTCCTAGCATTGAGGAGTGTACCCCCGGGATTTGTGATACGTCTTCCGATTGCAAGGTCGAAAAGCCTGCTTCGGTTCCAGGACGATGTGAACCCATGTCTCGGTATATTAGCTTGATAACTGATCTCAAACAAGTGAAGGCAGATTGCCCTTGGGGAGACGAAGTGCACGTAGAGAGCCCTTCACCTAATGAGGACATTACCACTCACAAAGCGGGGTGCCTAAGTGTATACACATACCCATTTACCTTAGGTCCTGCGCTGTCAATCATGCTAGACTGGAATCTCGAAGGCATACACTCGATGAAGTGCATGCCGAAGGATTTGACCTTTCTGGAGAAATTGAGAAGGTGAAGGCTTTGGAAGAAGAGGCAACTGCACTGCTCTCTACTAATGAGGATTCTGTCAGCGGCTCCGAGAGTGGGGAGGAAGAAGACGAAGTCCCCGAGGAGGAAGGGCCCCCCGAAGATCAGGCTGCCGAAGATCGGACTGCCGAAGGTCAGACCCCCGAAGATGTTGTTCCAGTGGATGTTGCCTCCGAGCAAGTGACCCCGACAGTAGACTAGGTCCTTTTAATTTCTTTATTTTGTGTAAGGGCTCCATGGGGAAGTTTTGTAAATGTGCCTTGTGAATACAAAGAAACTTTTATTTCGACCTTGGTTTGTGACGAATCTCATTTTCCTTTATTTATGGAGAAATCGCTTGTACGACCCAAATTATCAACCTGAGGGTTGGTTCGAATGTAGAACGCACTGAAACCTTAGGTCCTTTACTGATTAACATGATGCCTCTTGAAGTCTTAGGTAATTCTCGAGCTTAGATCGAGCTTGTAATGATGCAACCCTCGGGCCTGGGTTGAATAAGAAGGAGGTCTGGGCCCCTATTTTCCTGATCTCTATCCGTTTCGGCCCCGCGTTTATTAGCGTAAGAAATGATTGGGACCTCGATTTTCTCGAGTCTTTTAGGATGATGTCATATCCGTGATGTGAGCACTTGAAATGACCGGAAATGTCATGTCAATGCTTTTCCCCAGAATATCAAACGTGTATCAGTGCTGGTCGGCCAATTGCGCTGCCGAAATCGTCACCGCCTTTCACCGCCTTTCTATAAATACAATGCTATCCGGTTTGAACAAAGATTGTGTTCATTCACCATTTTTACTCTGGTTCTTTCCCCTCTCTATTTTTTCATCTAATCATCTGCTTCTATGATTCTAAACCTGCAAACTCCTAGTCACATGGCAGTAAGTATAGCAGTTACGCCAAGGTTTTTCTTTTCGAAGCTTCGATTCGAAGCAACGAAAAAGGGGCACAAAACCCTTCCCGTATCAGGAGATATGCGACCTTTTCCTTGTCGCTCATATCTTTTATCTTTAATCCTGGTGTGGAACTTCATTCCTTCTGCTTTCCATGGAGTGAGGTGGCACTATCATCTACTAACTTTTGCATCCCACACTGGTATAATGCCTCAGGGAGTGGCTTTAGGATAGTTGTGCTGACAAGACCCATACTTGCCAAGTTTTTCACCAGGCCATAATTTTCTCCACTTGTTAAAAGCTTTTGCTTCTTGATAGGCTATAGCCTTTACTTCATCTATTGCTGTCTCGGAGGAGGTTCCCGAAGGTGCCGCTCTCGAGGATGTGGCCCTAAAAGTAGATTAGGTTCTTGGCTTTGTTTTTTCTTCCTTATTCCTGTGTAAGGACCCTTCGTGGGCGTTGTAAATATACTTTGTAACTATCTCTTGGAAATATAAAAAGATTTTAACTTGTCTCGTCTTTGGCTTGCGCTGAATCTTGTTCATGTTTGTTGAGAATTTGATATCTTAATTTAAATGACCGGTTCGAGTTCTGGTTTGGTTCATGACGGCCTTTGGGTTTCTAACCAACCAATGTTATATTCCTTGAGGCCTCTGTTAGCCCTTGAGCTAAGCTTAAATTGATGTGAGTAGGAATTCTTGAGTCAAGAGCAAGGTCTCGAATCTGACATAAAGTTATGCCTTAGACTTCGTGGATAGTCCCCGAGTGAGAATTTTCTCGAGCTCGGATAGCCCTTAGGGCTTAGTGGTCGAGTGAGTACTTGCTCGAACTCGAACTAATGTTAGCCCTTAGGCTTCGTGGATAATCCCCGAGAGAGAATTTTCTCGAGCTCGGGTAGCCCTTTGGGCTTAGTGATCGAGAGAGTACTTGCTCGAACTCGAACTAAAGTTAGCGCTTAGGCTTCGTGGATAGTCCCCGAGTGAGAATTTTCTCGAGCTCGGGTAGCCCTTTGGGCTTAGTGGTCGAGTGAGTACTTGCTCGAACTCGAACTAAAGTTAGCCCTTAGGCTCTTTTATATTGGCCCTTAGGCTCTTATGCATCGGCCCTTGGCTCTTTAAGTTAGGGCGATTCGGCCTCCAAAATGGCTATAATTTTTTCCTCTTTTTGGCTAAAAGTCTTAGTGAAAATTTTGTATGCCTTAGCACGTGTTTTTTGTACCCGTTCAGGTTTTCCGAAGGTTCGATTGATTGGAACCTCGTTTGTAATTTGATATGTAGCATTAATCGAATACCTCTTGAGGTTTTTCGAAGGCTGAGGTTATCGAAGCCTCCGCATTATTCGAGGGTTGATTATATCGAAGCCCCTTATGATTTGCTTTTGCCGAGGGTAGCCTGATTTAACCGATTTTTCGAAGTATATGAAGGCCTTTTAGTTTTATAGCGGAAGTCAAATGTCTCGAGCCGCATTATTTCGGCCGTAGCCTTTTATATGACCGTAGTCTTTATGGTCGTAGCCTTTTATATAGCCGAAGCCTTTTATATGGCCATAGCCTTTCGTCCCCGAGTGTGACGGCCTTGGCCTTAATATCGAGGGGATGCCTCTTTGAGGTCTTTTAAGTTCGACTGTTCGATGAATCGTTGTGCCGATTGATGACAGTCCCCGAGTATTTGAGTACATTCGGGGTTTTGGCCCTTGAGCCGTTAAATGCGAAAATAGTAGACTTCTTTGAAGCACAAAGTGTTTTGATATAATAAGGACGCTTCTTTAAATAATCGATACATGTGAACATGTTTTGCTGCTGGGGATCGACAATTCTACATGGACACGGTTCATTTGACCGTTTGGCCCGTTAACAACATTCCCTTATCGAGGCCTTCATTGGCATGAATTGATTTATTCGAGAATGCGTCTTTCGAGGGTGATGCCCCCTAGTGTTCGAGGCAGATTAAAAAGAAGCCTCGAATACTTTTTGGATATTCCTTGGGTAGCATACAGATGTTGCCTCGTTAATAACCTTGTCAGTAAAACCCATTTGGGATAAAACCCATTCTAAGGGAAAAAGAGTGCAATGCATGCTTTAAAACCCAAGGTCTTCAAGCTGAGAGGTGCCTCGGAGTTTCCAAACGAACATCTGCAAGGAGTTAGTTTTGAATACAAATGGAAAAGGGGAGAAGATCATAGCTCAGCAGTAATAGCGTTTGAGCAACGATACATTCCAATTGTTTGGTAGTCCTCGACCACCTGTTCATCCATCGCCTGTCCCTCGGGCTCCACCGAGGGTATGAGCTATGATTGCTATTTGGTCACTGTTTCGTTCTTTGATTTTTCCAATGTGGATGGTGTCGATGCCGGCGCCAAGTCGTGTACTGCAAACATCTCCTTAGCTACATACTACTCTCCATATACTGTTTTCACGCCATCCTTTGTTGGGAACTTCATCATTTGATGAAGGGTCGATGGCACTGCCCTACTGCTATGGATCCACGACCTTCCAAGCAAAGCATTATACCTCATGTTACCTTCGATGACCTGAAATTTGGTATCTTATATGGTTCCGGCCACGCTAACTGGGAGGATGATTTCTCCCTTCATCGCTTCACTTCCCATGTTGAAGCTATTCAAGACTCGAGGTGCCGGTACAATTTGATCGAGCAACCCGAGCTGCTCCACGACCCTCGACCTGATTATGTTTTCCAAACTACCTGGATCCACGAGAACACGTTTATCTCGAACTTTATTTAAAAGGATAGAAATTACCAGTGCATCGTTGTGAGGCTGAGATAAGGCCTCGATGTCTTCCTCGCTAAATATGAGGGTGTCCTCGGGCATGTAATCCCGAGTCCGCTTCTCCCTGGTGATGGATACTCTGGTACGTTTGAATATGGGTCCCTATGGGACGTCGACTCCACCGATGATCATGTGAATGACGTGTTGAGGTTCTTCAGGTTCCCTCTTCCGTTTGCATCTCTTTCTCTGAAATGGTTCTTGTCCCGGCCGCTGAGAAATTCTCGAAGATGCCCCTCGTTGAACAACCGGGCTACCTCTTCTCTAAGCTGGCTGCAATCCTCGGTCTTATGCCCATGAGTACCATGATACTTGCACATCAAGTTGGGGTTCCTCTGAGAAGGATCCGTCTGTATAGGTTTGGGCCATCTAGTATCTCTAATTTTACCAATGGCTGAGACGATACCCGAGGCATCGACGTTGATGTTGTACTCCGATAGTCGGGGTGCTTCTGCCGGTCCCAAGTGTCTATCAAACCCGGTTTTGCTCATGAGTCCTCGTGAACTTTGGCCTCGATCTTCTCTTTGATTGTTCCGAGGTATATTACGCCTTGAGATATTCCTTCAATCCTCGACGTAAGGCTTATATCTTTCCTTATTCGGCCTTGACCTCTTGTCTGTGTTTCCTGACTCCTTTGCTAGTAGCCTGCTTGGATAAACTAAGCCCGAGAGGGCTCCCAAATGATCATCCTCAACCCTAATTTTTGATTGGTACCTGTAATGCACATCCGCCCAAGTCACGGCGAGATACTCGATCAAGTTCTGCTTTAGATGCTTCGAAGCCATCGAACTCCGTTCATTTAGTCCCTGAGTGAAATCTTGTACGGCCTAGTCATCGGAGACTGGCGGTAACTCCATCCGCTCTGACTGGAAGCGAGAAACAAATTCCCTCAGCATTCCGTTCTCCCTTTGCTTTATTTTGAATACATCGGACTTCCTCGTTGCGACTTATATGGCCTTTAGAAATGAGTCTGCCAACATGGCAAACGAATCAATAGAGTTCTGGGGTAAGTTATGGTACCAAATCATGGCACCCTTAGACAGAGTTTCCCCAAACTTTTTTAGCAACACAGACTCAATGTCATCGTCTTCCAAATTATTTCCTTTGATGCCACAAGTATACATGGTGACGTGCTCATTGGGATCACTGGTCCCGTTGTATTTTGGGATGTCTGGCATCCGAAACTTCTTCAGGATGGGCTTCGGAGCCGCACTTTGGGGGAATGGTTTTTGCAAGAACTTCTTTGAGTCCAGTCCTTTCAAAATCGGAGGTGCTCCCGGTATTTGGTCGACCCTCAAGTTGTATGTTTCCACCTTTTTGTCGTTGTCCTCAATCCTTTCTTTCTGTTGAATCGATCCTCTTCGTGAGTTTCTCGAGCATTTTCATGACGGTGGGGTCAGTTCCTGAGCCGTCGATCTTGATCTTTTCGGCGATGGCTCAACACGATGAGCGGTTTCTGGCCCTGCCACGCTTGGAGTCTTTTGCTGACTTTGCAACTGAGCGATAGCAACTTGTTGCGTTTGCAACATCTCAAAAATCACTTGCAGACTAACATCTATTTTTCCTTGAGCCTGTGTCCTTTGAGCGTCAGGTTGACCTCCTCCGCGTACACTTCCTTCGACATCAGTGTCCGAATCGTCGTTCACAACAATGTGTGAACCAACATCGACGGGGTTTGGCGCTGGTGCTACCCCAGAGTTTAGCGGTGGCACACCGGTCCCTGCAGTTGTGGCATTGTTTTCTCCATGAGATCCGAGATTGTCGTTTCCATGCACGGGTGCGTTTGCTGAGCTAGACATATCTTAGCCTGAAATCAAAGAATCTTTGACAAGAAAAAGTGTGAAGAATATCGTGTGTTATCAGAAAACTAGCACTAAAATAATCATTATTATCTTCAGCCCCACGGTGGGCGCCAAACTGTTTACCTCAAAAAAAATGAGTAAAAATTAAAGATAATTTGTGGTTTTAAAGATATGTGATTTATTCCAATACTAGTAATATACAAGTAATATTAGGTTTAAGTAAGAAGAATTGATGAACCAAACCAGTTTGTTAGAGCAATGGGGACCTCGAGCTCGACTATCTCGGGGGCCTCGAGGTGAGCTAAGAGTAAGCAAAGTATGAACAATAATGTAAAAATGATAAAATGGAAGAACAATTAGGGAGCACAGTAAATGAGAAAAGCATAGTAGAATATTCTATTGCAGTGAGTCAGATGATTTTTACAAAGATTGGGGTCCCAGTTATGTAGAAGGGGAAAACCCTAATATAGTACATTTTCAGTTATGACAAAGAATTCTATTGGTACAGCTGTATAACAACCTAGTACGGAGTTGTACCATCTCGTACAAATCTTATCCCTTAATTTATACCCTGATCCACATATCCTTGAGAAATTCCCGCTCATTCTTGATTGTCATCGAAAATGTACTGCCCTCAAGGCAAATCATGGCGGGTCTTCGATTTGCTCCCCCGAGGTATGCATTTTCCAATCAGATTTGGTCTTTACTTCGTGCTACCCCGAACTCGAGCCCGGGGTTCCATTCAGACCTCGAAATCAAGCTCTCTGCTTTTGACCGTATGTAGTAAATCATATCAAACTTGACAAACGAATTTCCAAAAAAAAAAGTAAACACCATTTTCTTGACCGTTAAAGAGAAGTTTGACATTATCTTGGGTAATTGCATTCCTGATAAATTATTGATTGAATGTTTGATATGTTTATCTGTGTATGACCGCATCGCATGTATTATTCTTGTTTGAGCTTGTTGTTATCAATATACAATGTGAATTAAGCATATTAAACTTCATATTATTGTATTTGCTGGCCCTAGTAAGTGTCGGAGTCGACCCCACGTCACTACTCCTGCGAGGTTAGGCGAGATACTGGGTACATATTTCTATGTACTCATGCTACAATTCTGTACTTGATTGTACAGGCTTTGAGGCAGGTGCATCTGGCCATCAGTCCGGTGCATAGAGTGGACTCCTCAGCTTGAGACTTTCCGGTGAGCTGCCCTTTTGAGCCGTTCTGCAGCAGCTGGAGTCTTTCTTTTGTCTTTATGTTTCCTGTCTATTCCTTTTTCAGACAGTAGTATAGTATATCTATGTATATTCTACTAGATTGCCCACGCACTTGTGACACTAGGTCTTGGCACACACATTAGTAGACTTATGTTGTTTTGGCTTGTCTTCATGATTGAGATTTGCATTTATTACTTCCATTTAAATATGATTCAATTTCTAATCTATAATGAAAGTTATCATGTACTAACTACACAAATGAGAATTTACTATTTGATTAGTGTTGGCTTGCCTAACAATGGTGTTGGGCGCCCTCGCGGCCTAATATGCAATTTGGGTCATGACAACATGGTATCAGAGCACTAGGTTCACGTAGGTCTCACAAGTTATGGGCAAACCTGGTAGAGTCTTGCGGATCGGTACGTAGATTCCTGTACTTATCTTCGAGAGGCTATAGGGTGTTAGGAAACTACTCTTTATTCATCTCATATCGTGCAGTTGATGGTGTACTAAATTTCCTTATTCTATTCTCTCACAGATGGTGAGGACACGTACGGTGGACGTTCCAGACCTGGGAAACGCTGCTCCCCTCGTTGCTGGAGGCTAAGGCAGAGGCCAGGGAGGGCACCGGCCCGAGGTAGGGGACGAGGGTGTCCGAGAGCTGCCCCAGTTGCACCACCGGCGGAACCAGTAGGGGATCCCATTATCGAGGAGCAGGGCGAGGTGCCCGCAGCAGAGCCTGCCTTGGCGGATTTCATGACAGCACCTGGCTTCTAAGAGGTCATGGGTCATATGCTGCGGTTCATGGACTCTATGACTCAGGCTGGTTTATTTCCAGCAGACCCAGCTACATCTGAGCCAAGAGGGGGAGCACAGACCGCCACTGCTTAGGCTCTTGGGCACGCAGGTGCCATATACCAGACTCGGGGTACACTACCCGCGGGCGGTGCCCAGCCAGTTTCAGTAGTGACACCTGAGCCCAGACCAGTTGCGGACGGTGATTCACAGAAGTTGTTGGACAGATGGACTAGGCTACACCCTCGTATCTTCGGAGGTGAGCGTCATGAGGATGCCCAGGGTTTCATTGATAGGTGCAGGGACAGAATGCACAAGATGTGGATATTGGAGTCCCATGGGGTAGATTTCACCGCCTTCTAGTTAAAGGGCAGGGCCCATAGGTGGTGGCAATCTTACCTCCTTAACAGACCACCAGGTTCTCCTCCCATGACTTGGGATCAGTTTACATGGCTTCTATTGGACAAGTATATTCCACCCTCTCAGAGGGAAGAGTTACGGTGTCAGTTTGAGCAGGTCGAGCAGGGTCAGATGTCTGTGACCGACTATGAGGCGAGATTCTCTGAGTTGTCTCGCCTTACACTCATGATACTTCCTACGGACACAGAGAGAGTGCAGAGATTTGTTGTGAGGTTACACCCTGGTATTCGAGCTAGCATGGCCTGAGAGGTTGAGATGGGGACTGAGTATCGGCTAGTAGTGGAGATTGCTCGGAGGATTGAGGGTTACCGCTAGAGGGGTAGAGAGAAGTTTCAGCAGGACAAGAGGACCCGATTCTCTGGAGAGTTTAGAGGTGCCCCATCTAGGGGCAGAGGTTAGTTTGGGAGGGGCTATCCCAGCAGGTCCCCATATTCAGCACCACCACCTCCTCAAGGTGCTCCAGTGAGGCCTTATTTCAGTGCTATGTCGGAGATTTCTTACCGCCCACCAGCTATTCAGGGTTCCTCCAGCGGGTATTCTAGTCATCAGGATTCTTCCAGTGCCTACTTCAGTGCTATACCAGAGAGTTCATACCGCCTACCAGCCATTCAGGGTTCTTCTAGTGGGTATTCGGGCCATCAGGGTCAGGCTTCAGGACAACAGTCTATGGCACCACGGGGTTGTTACGAGTGTGGGGATCCAGGTCACATTAAGAGGTTTTGCCCCAGACTTCGGGGCAAGGCAGTACAGCAGGGTCATCAGCCTATGATTACAGCACCAACCGTCCGACCGCCTAGAGGTGGGGAACAGGTTGGTAGGGGTCGTCCTAGAGGTGGAGGCCAGTCAGGGGGAGTTCAGCCAGCTACCGTTCAGCCAGGCGGAGGCTAGCCAGCCGGGACTCCAACTAGATTCTATGCTTTTCCGGCCAGACCAAATGCAGTGGCCTCAGATGCCATGATCACAGGTATTATTTCTGTATGCGGTAGGGATGCTTTGGTATTATTTGATCAAAGGTCTACATATTCATATGTGTCATCTCTGTTTGCTTATTTTCTGGATATCCCTCGTGAGTCTTTGGGTACTCCTATTTATGTGTCCACTCATGTGGGCGATTCTATGGTTGTGGATCGGATCTATCGGTCCTGTATGGTTAGCTTCTGTGGTTACGAGACTAGAGCGGACCTTCTATTACTTGACAAAATCGACTTTGAGGTCATCTTGAGCATGGATTGGTTATCTCCGTTTCATGCCATCCTTGATTGTCATGCCAAGACTGTTACTTTAGCGATGCTAGAGTTGCCGAGTTGGAGTGGAAGGGTTCCTCCGTTAGTTCATCTAGTCGGGTTTTCTGTTTCCTGAAGGCTCGACATCTGGTCGAGAAGGGGTGTTTGGCGTATCTAGCCTATGTCCGGGACACGATAACAGAGTCCCCAACGAATGATTCAGTGCTAGTAGTCTAGGAGTTCGCCGATATGTTTCCTTCTGACCTTCCAGGCATGCCGCCGGATCGTGACATTGGTTTCTGTATTGAGTTGGCTCCAGGTACCCAGCCTATATCTATCCTACCGTACTGTATGGCATCGAAAGAGTTGAAAGAGTTGAAGGAGCAGCTTGAGGAGTTGTTAGCAAAGGGATTTGTGCGACCCAGTGTATCACCTTGGGGTGCCCCAGTGTTATTTGTGAAGAAGAAGGATGGGACTAAGCGGATTTGCATTGACTACCGCTAGTTGAACAAAGTCACCATCAGGAACAAGTACCTGTTGCCTCGTATCGATGATTTGTTTGACCAGTTGCAAGGTGCTAGAGTGTTTTCTAAGATCGACTTGAGATCGGGGTACCACCATTTGAAGATTCGGGACTCAGATGTTCCGAAGACTGCCTTCCGTACTAGATATGGTCATTATGAGTTTCTAGGGATGTCCTTCGGCTTCACTAATGCCCCAGTTGCGTTTATGGACTTGATAAACAGGGTGTTCAGGACTTATATTTATTCCTTCGTTATTGTCTTCATTGATGACATCTTGATATACTCACATAGCCTGGGGGAGCACGAGCAGCATTTGAGAGTAGTGCTTCAGACTTTGCAAGAGCAAAAGCTATATGCTAAGTTCTCCAAGTGTGAGTTTTGGCTAGAGTCAGTAGCATTCTTGGGGCATATCGTATCAAGCGAGGGTATTAAAATGGATCCCAAGAAGATTGAGGCAGTTCAGAGTTGGCCACGTCCTACTTCAGTGACTGAGATCAGGAGTTTCCTGGGGCTAGCAGGTTACTACCGCCGATTTGTGTAGGGCTTTTCATCCATTGCATCACTTCTGACTAGATTGACCAGAAGGGTACTCCATTTCGTTGGTTCGATGATTGTGAGGCGAGCTTTCAAAAGCTCAAGATAGCCTTGACTACAACACCGGTTCTAGTGTTGCCTTCCGGTTCAGGGATGTATACGGTATATTGCGATGCTTCACGCGTTGGCTTGGGATGTGTATTGATGCAGGAGGGGCGAGTTATTGCCTATGCTTCACGTCAGCTGAAGATTCATGAGAAGAATTACCCTCTGCACGACCTACATTTCGCAGCGATTGTTCATGCTCTTAAGATATGGAGGCATTATCTGTATGGAGTGTAATGTGATGTTTATACTGATCATCGCAGCTTACACCATTTGTTCAAGCAGAGGGATCTCAATTTGAGGCAGCGTAGATGGCTTGAGTTACTGAAGGATTATGACATCACCATTCTTTATTATTCGGGAAAGGTAAATATGGTCGCGGATGCCTTAAGAAGAAAGGCAGAGAGTATGGGTATCTTGGCATACATCTCAGCGGAGGAGAGGCCACTAGCCTTGGACATCCGGTCATTTGCTAATAGACTTGTGAGGTTGGATATTTCAGAGCCCAGTCGAGTCCTTGCGTGTGTTGTTGCTCAGTCTTCATTATTGGGACAGATCAAGGCTCGAAAGTTCGATGATCCGCATTTGGCAGTTCTCAGAGAGATGGTGCTACAGGGTAGTACCAAGGAGGTTTCTAATGGCGAGGATGGTGTTCTGCGATTCCAGGGTCGTCTATGTGTTCCTAATGTCGATGGCTTGAGGGAGAGGATTCTAGAGGAGGAACACAGTTCACGGTATTCGATTCATCCAGGTGCCACGAAGAAGTATCGTGACCTGAGGCGGCATTATTGGTGGCGGCGGATGAAGAAAGACATAGTTGAGTATATGGCTAGGTGTTTGAATTGCCAGCAGGTTAAGTATGAGCACCACAGGTCAGGTGGCCTACATCAGCGGATGCCTATACCTGAGTGGAAGTGGGAGCGCATTACTATGGACATTGTATTTGGGTTGCCACGAACATTGAAGATGTTTGATGCAGTTTGGGTCATTGTTGACAGGTTGACCAAGTCGGCACACTTCATTCCGGTTGTGACTACTTATATTCATAGAGGTTTGCTCAGATCTACATTCGGGAGATAGTTTAGTTGCACGGTGTGCCTGTTTCCATCATATCAGATAGAGGCCCTCAGTTCACTTCCTATTTCTGGAGAGTCGTACAAAGTGAGTTAGGGACCCGTGTAGAGCTCAGCACGGCATTTCACCCGCAGACCGACGGGCAGTTAGAGCGGACAGTTCAGATTCTAGAGGACATGCTTAGAGCATGTGTGATTGACTTTGGAGGACAGCGGGATCAGTTCTTGCCTTTGGCCGAGTTTGCTTACAATAACAGTTATCAGTCCAACATCGAGATGGCTCCATTTGAGGCTTTATATGGTCGGCGATGTCGTTCCCCTATCGCGTGGTTTAATCCTGGTGAGGCTAAGTTGTATGGTACAAATTATAGAAGGGTGCCTTGGAAAAGATAAAGATGATTCAGGAGAGACTTCGCACAACACAGTCCAGACAGAAGAGTTACGCGGATCAGAAGGCGCGTGATGTATCATTCATGGTCGGCGAGAAGGTTCTCTTGAAAGTCTCGCCGATGAAGGGTATTATGAGATTCGAGAAGAGGGGCAAGTTGAGCCCAAGGTTTATAGGCCCGTTTGAGGTGTTGAGGTGAGTTTGGGAGGTTGTTTAGGAGCTTGCTTTGCCTCACAGCCTGTCAGGGGTTCATCCAATTTTTCACGTGTCTATGCTTCGAAGGTATCACGCCAACTTGTCTCATGTGTTAGACTTCAGCACTATTCAGCTAGATGAGAGCATGGGTTATAAGGAGGAGCCAGTTGCCATTGTTGATAGACAGGATCACCAGTTGAGATCCAAGAGGATTTCTTCGGTAAAGATCCAGTGGAGAGGCCAACTAGTTGAAGAGGCGACCTGGAAGTCCGAGGAGGACATGCGGAGTAGATATCCACGCTTATTTAGAACTTCAGGTATGAATCTAAACCCGTTCGAGGACGAACGTTTGTTTAAGAGGTGGAGAATGTAATGACCCGACTGGTCGTTTTGCTTTCTAAAACCCCGTTCCCCTAAATAAGACTTCCCGTACTTGCTTTTACAGATTTATGAGTCGTTTGGGATTTGGAAAAGTTTGGGTTGAAATCGGAACACTTGGTTCCTTAAGGTTGGCTTAAAAGGCCAAGTTTGACTTCGGTCAACATTTTTGGTAAACGACTTCGGAATCGAGATTTGAAGGTTCCAACAGGTTTGTATGGTGATTTGTGACTTGGGCGTATGTCCGGCTCGGGTTTTGGACAACCTAAAAGGATTTTGGCGCATAATAGTGAAAGTTTATTCTTTAAGGATCTTGAAGTTCTTAAAATTTGGTTTGGAGCGGGTTTTTGTGATATCGAGGTCCGAATGGAATTTCGGGATCGGGAATAGTTATATATTGTCATTTAAGACTTGCACGCAAAATTTGGTGTCAATCCGAGTAGTATAAGTACATTTTGGCACGTTGGAAGTAGATTTAAGAACTTGAAGTTCATAAGTTTGATTCAATTGGTTTTAGGGTGTGATTCTTAGATTTAGCATTTTTTCGGGCGTTCCGAGGGTTCAAGCGAGTCCGTTTTATGATTCCAAACTTGTCGGTATGCTCAGGCAGGGCCTCGGGGACCCCGAGCGCCAATCGGACGAGGCTCATGTTAAGTTAGAAATTTGAGAAGGAGCTGAAGCTCCAGTTCTGTCATAATCGCACCTGCGGTTGGCCAGCCACAGGGGCGACACCGCAGAAGCGGATTACCAATCACAGATGCGGCCTAAGGGGAGGAGCCCAGGTTCCGCAGATGCGGCTCCTCTTCCGCAGAAGCAGTTTCCAGACCGCAGATGCGGCCTAGCTAGCCGGCCCAATTCTGCATAAGCAGACGTTCCGTCGCAGAAGCGAGACCGCAGAAGGCAGTGCCTTCATTAAATACGAGAATGTGTCATTTTTGACACATTTCATTCATTTCTTGGGCGATTAGGGAGCTTCTAAAGGGGAGATTTCAGCCTACCATTGTGCGGTAAGTTATTTCTACTTAATGTAAGTTTAATATATAGTTTAGGGGTAGATTACACCATGTAAATAAGTGGAAATTATGGGTTTAGAGTAAAACCTAGGGTTTTGATAAAAACAATATTTAACCGCGAAATTTGTTATGTAATGTAGAAGAAATCATATATTCTTGATCCTTAGGTTATGGGTAACAGCTTTCTTCAAAAATTTCTAAAATCCGGGCACGTGGGCCTAGGGGTGAATTTTAGGAATCTTGCATTAGGGTTGGAAAATTAGTTTAATAGTTATAATATGAACTCTTGAGCATATATTGACTAGTTCTTACCCATTTGAATAGTTTTGGATCGTTTGGCTCTGTTTTGAAAGTTTGAACGCATTCTTGAGTTGGAAATAGGCTCGAAACGAGGTTAGTCTCTTTTCTAACCTTGTAAGGGGAAAATTTCCCCATAGGTGATCTTAATATATATA